GTAAATATATTATTACTTTCATGTCTAAAAAGGTGAAGTTGTGATTAAATTATGATAACTTTGGAAATTTAGGTGTTTGGGCCGTGGCAGATTCTTGGCCATAAACAAATGGGCCTTTTCCGTGACTTTTGCACTTTCTGCTTTGTGTACGAAAGAAGCCTTAAATAATTCATGCCACCATGTGTGGATAAGATTTGAGAAAGTTTCTCATGAGTCATGAGTGCAAAAGGGTCACATCAGAACTATTCAAGTTTTTTGGGGTCTTTTTTTTTTGCTTTTAATTGAAAAGCCCAACTCATTGGGCTCTATCTTGTCGATAGACAAGCAAGCAGCCCATCTTAAAGATGCAAAAGTTGGGACCTGGGATTGGGAATTTGCCAAATAAGAAGCTAAAAATATTGAGACCTTTTTAAAGTTTTTAGCTAAGTTCCTTTTCTTTTCTCTTTTTAGTTTTGTCTTGTAGCGTTTTTGATTCCTGGGTCAGTTTGTATGTTGGCAAATTAAAGGCACATCTTTTCAAACTTCGAAAACTCACTTATAATAGTCTTCTCAAGCAATCTAAATCTTAGATTCTTGATAACTACTATTACTCTTTACACTTTTTCAGCACGTAATTCTCAACTTATTCCCATTTTCTATGTATTAAAAAAAAAAACCAATAATTGAACGAACATAGCGTTTGATATCGATAGATAGTCAAGGATAGACGTTACTGCCATTTTATTTTTCTACTGTTAAGAGTCTCTGTGAAGATTTACACTATCTTCAACATACCATGAATCTTATCATCAAACGCTTCTACTTTACTAGATTCGCCCTTTATTTTAGTCATCCTATGACCATAAAAAAAGTGAAGAAGGGGTGTGTACATGGATCTTTTCACTTTGAGTTTATCATCACACAAATTTAATATTATTATCATCATCGATGAAGTTGTTATGTAGGAATTAATTAACAAAAAATATATATATATAATTTTATTATATTATTAAATAAATAAATACACTTAATGTTATAAATTTTAAATAAAAAAATTAATTATTTATATAACATGTAAAATTATACAAAAAAAATAACATAAAACACTTATCTCTAAATTATGTTTTAGATCACCATCCCCAAATCTTGTCAATCATGTCACTAATCTAACCCATTTGAGATTTGTCCCTCTTACATTATCTAGTGGATAAACAAGTAAATAATGATAAAATAAATGAATTTAT